AAGCAGAATCCGAGAATTATAACTAGGCGTTTTATGAAATATTTTAATGAGCAATCTTTTTTATATGATCTTGCTCAAATTGATTGGGATAAAATTACTTTAATTCCAGATGTGGATTGTGCTTGGGACTATTTTTATAATAGTTTTATGACAATTATTAATAAGCACCCACCTTTGAGAAAACATAGAGTTAAACACCGGGACAATCCTTGGTTTTCAACCGCCCTATATGATCTTATCCAAGAGCGTGATGCAGCATGGGCTAAGGCCAGACGAACACATTTAAATTCTGACAGGCTACATTTTAAGCAGCTTCGTAATTAGTGTACAGTAGCGATTAGAAAGTCTAAATCTGATTACTTTCTTGACAAAACTACAGAAAATCTGACAAATCCTAGGAAGATGTGGAAGAATATTAAAGTCCTAACCGGTAACAAAACATTTACAGAGCTTCCCCCTTGTATATTGACAGACTCTACTAAAATTACAGATAAAAAGCAAATGCTTAATAGTTTTAACAGTCACTTTATTGTATCAGGGTCTTTATTTCCAATAAGTAATGATATGACTTCTGATTTAGAATTTCTTGAAGCTGAACATAACTTATGGACAAGAGAGTTTGTTTTCCAACAAATTTCTCTCGCTGATGTTTGTTCTGCTTTAAAATAATTAAATGTGAATAAATCGTCAGGTCCTGATCATATTGCTCCGCTGTTTTTAAAACTAGCGGCTGATTTTATTTCTCCTTCATTGACATATCTTTTTAATCTTTCATTAATAACTAATACAATTCCTAAGATCTGGAAATCAGCATTTGTTGTTCCTCTGTCAAAAGGGGGTGATCTTTCCTTAATGGATAATTATAGACCTATATCTAAGCTCTGTATTCTCTCAAAACTTTAGGAAAATCTAGTTAGTAAACAGTTGACACAGTATTTAAATGGTCATAACATTTTGTCTAATAATCAGTCTGGTTTCCGTAAAGGACAAAGTACTACTACAGCCACCTTAAAAGTTTTAAATGATATCGTGGAGTCATTAGATAATAAACAACATTGTGCATGTCTTTTCATTGACTTATCAAAGGCCTTCGATACTGTGGATCACAACATATTATTAGATAGGCTTAGATGGGTAGGACTATCAGAACATGTTATTTTATGGTTCACTGCTTATTTAAAGGGTAGAACCCAATGTGTCCAGGTGGAAGGTGTTCAGTCAGACCTTTTAGAGGTTGTCAAGGGAGTTCCGCAAGGATCTGTGTTGGGACCATTATTATTCAGTATATATATATAAATTGCCTTGATTTTAATATTTGATCCATTTTTACGCAGATGATACTATTGTATACCGTTCAGCTCCCTCTAAACAACAATCTGTGGCTGCATTACAGTCTGTTTTTGATATTATCCAAAACAGGTTTCATGCTTTGAAGTTGGTTTTAAATGTTGAAAAAACTAAATGTATGCTATTTTCAAATTCTAGAACTTCTTTAGAGAACTCTGTTGTCCTTCAAACTTCTCAGGGGAGCCAAATTACCTCAGTGTCAGAGTACAAATATCTGGGTATTATTATTGACAACAAATTACGTTTTGGTCCACCTATTAAGTATCTGAGTAAAAAATTAAAGAAGAACTTAGGGTTTTTCTTTAGAAATAAGTCATGTTTCCCATTTAAGGTGAGGAAAAAAATAGTGTCCGCTGCATTTTTACCGATTCTCGAATATGGGGATGTGGTTTACCAGCATGCCCCTTCTTATCTTCTTTCTTCCTTGGATGCTTTGTACCATGGTGCTCTGAGATTTATTACTGATTGCAGATTTTGAACTCATCATTGTGATTTATATGAAAGAGTTGCATGGCCTTCCTTGAGAATACGGAGAAAAATGCACTGGCATTTGTTGATATATAAGGCAATTTTGGGTTATTTGCCAAAGTATCTCTGTTGTTTTATACAAAGGACTTTAATTGGAAATCATTCATTGCGTTCTCAATCAATTTACAATCTCTGTATACCTTTTGTCAGAACTGAGCTTGGTAAAACCTCTTTTAAATATGCTGCAGCCTCAGATTGGAATCTTCTTCAAAAGGAGATGAAGTTACAAAACTTGGTGTCTTATAATTATTTTAAGTCTTTATTATGTAATCTTGAGAGCAACTTAATGGTGTGTA